CTTAAGTATTTTGTAATATATGTATAATATAATTAATTAAAACATTTTTTAAAACCTTATAATGTGTTATGATATAAACACTACCACAAGCAAAGTATTCATATCAACTTCACCACAAAATGCCTGCTATATAGGGAATACCATAAAAATGGATACAATGTATTGTTCTTAGAGACCCTTATAATGTAGAGAATATAAGTTTCTTTGTAGTTACTAAACTCTATATGAGATTCATGTCTTATTTGCCACTATACCCCAAAATATAGCACAGTGCCTGACACATAGTAACTGCCTAGGTTTTAGAGTCAATGAATAATTGAAAGAACTAATTAGCAGTTAAACCATCCTTTACAATTGAAAAAAAAAGTATATTAGCAGTGATGTGTATTTAAGATAGTTTTCTTTTCACAAATTAGTTTTCCCAGCTCCCTGTTATGAAGACATTGTTCAGTAATAGTGTATCATTCAGTAATGTGTTGATACAATGAAATCTCTGCAAATCTGTAGTTCCTTCTCTTATCCTCTAGATGGTAGTATTTTATATTTTGGTTATTTAAAAAAGAGAAAGCTTCAGATGGAATAACCACTTAACATTTTTACATGTGATTCCCCCCAGCACACACACACACTTGCCATCCATGTTTTTCACATAGGATCATTTTTTTTTGCCCTTAATAAATTTCAAAAATACTCATTCTTTGTTAGAAAGTCAAATGGAGTAAAGATAGACTTTTTTTATTATATCTGTAATTTTAAAATGCAGATTAATTCATAAAATAATAAAGGCAAAAAATTCCCTGTGAATTTAGGGAGGGGGGAAAGTTAGATTATTTGTATATTCTGTAAGAGCAAGCATCAAGTCTGGCTTATTTAACAGAAAAACAGCTTTCAGTTTACTCCTCACCATGAATTTTATTTCAAAGCAAGATATCCGATCCTTTATTGATTCCATTGCCATGTTCCATAGAATATGGGACTTATTTGGATGCTTATTAAAACTAATAGGGTGACCTGCATAGTGAGAATTTTCATGTCTAATAATGTATGAAGTATGTGAAAATTCTTTTTGACTTAGTCTTTACCTTGGCAGTCAGATTATTATGACTTGAGGACTAGATTATTCATGAACCAGAATAACAACTTTACAAAAAAAAAATTATATAAGGAAACAAACAATAGCAATCTCCTTATGGGTACACCTTTATATATTTTAATAGTAAGATGGACAAGTTAGGCCCTCCACTTCGAACTGGAAGACATTTGCAAAGGTTGTATGACAGTGATACAAAGTCAGACATTGCCATCAAAAGACATGAGTTATTGCCCATTTACAAGTAAGTATTTGTAACTCAGTTTGGTTAATCTTTTTTCAGCTGTTTTCTTGAACTCTTTATAGAATGGAATACTATAATTTGTAAATTCCATACTTAAAAAAAAAACTCTTATTTTGATTATTTTAGGTCCAGAAATGCTGAATAAGTTTTTAGGACTCAACACATTTTGATTTTTGGTAAATATTTCTATAGTCCTTAAAAATGCTGCTTTTAGGCCCTCCCTGGTGGCGCAGCGGGTTAAAGCACAGCACTGAGAAACTAAAGCCACTTCCGCATGAGTTCAATTCCCGCCTGCCCTGGAGGTGACCACATGGCGTGGCAGACCTCTCCTGACCCACCTACTGCTCCCCTCAGCAGTGTACTTCGTCGATCTGCCTATTCTGCTCCCCACTCTGTCTCTGGTGAAGCCTCTCACCGCCCCTGAGCCTCTGGCCTGTACCCCAGTTCTGTATGCGCAAATAAATAAATCTTTAAAAAAAAATGCTGCTTTTAGCTCATACTTACTGTGAAACTTCCATTAAGCTTTAACTTTAAGAAGGTAGAAAAAATCATCTTCAAAGTTACTCATGAAATTTTTTTAGGAGTAACATTTAAAAAAATTATAGGGAATATTATACCACATATATCAAATAATATTGCTAGATAATCTTTCAGTAGAACAGATAATGAAATATTATAAAAAGGCAGAGGAAAAGTCCTTAGAAAACAGTCACTAGATCCTAAGTCTTTTTAGTTACTTGGATGACTGTAAATGCCACATAAAGTATGACACTGCTAAGTACACGCCTCTCTGTTCCGGCCTAGCAACCTGAGAAGTGACATGAGTGTGGCAGTGGTAACAGTGTGGAAATTTTCCCCATAAAGGTCTTTAAAGATTACTAGTTCAGGCAGCTATACAAAATCTAGCCCTCACATTTTAAAGTGATGAAATTAGGACTAATAAGTTAAGTTACTCATGAGCTAAAATAATATATATTATTAAGCAGACTTAAGTTAACTTTTGAAACACGGCCTTTTGTGACATCTTACTATATATGAGAAGTAGCAGTAAAATTAACCAGGTATACAATGAAATAGGATAAGTCTTTAATATATTAGTTGTAACCATCTGTTATTTTTAACTTAGTGATAAAACCTAGAAGGATTAATGCCTTTAGCCATTTTTCTTTGTACCACATTTGCTGTCTTTACCCAGTGAAGCAGACATCAAAGAATTACCAATAGTAAGATAATGCACAATTCCAAAATTAAACCTTTTAGTGTTCTTTGAGCTGTAGTAGGAAGGTTAGAGAAATGGATTAGTGCTTTTAAGATACTGGCTAGGAAGAAAAATGTGTTGATAATACGAGAGTAGAACAACATGTTCCAAATGCTAATCAAGACATATCTTCCCAGTCACTTGCTCTTGACAGGCTCTACCTCTGAGACGTTATGAAACTACATTCTAGACATTTAATAATGGTACCAATTATTGGTAATCTCTTTTTTTCGCTAGTGTTTATATTCTCTGTTTGAACAATTTTAAAATATTCCTATACTGAATTTGTATGTGGGTATGCATGGCATTGTTTATATTATCGGTAGATAATATTTGCATTTTATGTGAAGGCAGTAAGATTTCTAATAAGATTTGAGTCTAGAGGGGGGAAAATGTGTCCTTTTAAATTCCTTTTTTATAATTCTCAGTGAAGGAAAAGTCTTTTTGGCAATGATATTTTAGAAAAGAATTCCTACACTGGCACTGTATGAGTTAGGCAGTATTCACAGAGGGTTGTTTATTACCTGGCATAGTATTTGGCATGTAGTGGGACATTTGAAATAGATGTTGTTACTAACTTGCCTGTATTTGGTGAGATAGAGGAAGAAAAATTTCAGACAAAGTTGAAAATTTTTGAGCCAAAGGAATTTTAAGGAGTATTCTTATTCATATGACATAACATTGCTTATTATGAAAGGAAAATAGTTGACTAAATCTAAATAGGGGGTGGGAACTATCACTTTATTGACCGTCTGACCCCTGACTCAGCAACTTAGTTGTGTCATGTTGGGTAAGTTTCGTAATCACTGTTTGCCTCATTTGCAAAATAGAGTTATTAACTGTACTTCCTTCGTAGATTATTTTGAGAATTAAGTAAACTTACATATGAAGGCAAATAGAATGTAACTGATATATAGTAAACTCCATTATATAAAGATTAACTTGTAACAGTAGCAATAGTCATGGTAGTATTTATAGTATTATCTTCATCATTAATTATAAATATTTAGCTAACTTATATACCTTCTTATAAAATAGGCAATGTTAGTCACATTTTGTAAGAGGGGTGGATGTACACTCAAAGTGACTAATCACTATTACAAAGCTGGTCACTACCATTTGGGATTTGAATCCATATTCAACTGAATCCCAAAGTCTGTCTTTTACCATTGAACTATTATATAGCCTTCTTAGCTTTCTTTCTGTCCTGAAATTTCAGAGAGGGAATTCAGAGATGATCTAATCCAAACTCCCACTGACACACATAGCCCAGTAATAAAATTATAACTCAGTTGCTGAAATTAAATCTTTTTCTTTAAAGAGTTATTTATTTACTTTATGCATATAAAACTGGGGTACAGACCAGAGGTACAGGGGTGGTAAGAGGATTCACCAGAGATAGAGTGGGGAACAAAACAGGCAGATTGAGGAAATACACTGCTGAAGGAACTAGCGGGGAGACAGGAGAGGTCTGCAGCACCATTTGATCACCTCTGGGGCAGGGATCGAACTTGCAGTGAAGCTGCTGCACTTAACTTGCAGTACTGTGCTTTAACCCACAGCACCACCAGGGAGGGCCGAAATTAAATCTTTTAATGGAAAGTTACTAAGCACTGATGTGCATAAGTTAAATATTCTCTTAGGGTGTTATATTTTATTCTCTTTTAGATGTATCACTTATGTTTAACATAGAAATATTCACAAGCATTTAGCAAAACACATCCCTAGTTTTGAAAGACCTATAGATTTAAAGCTTAAGGGCCTCCCTGGAAGCCTAATGGTGCTATCATTGCTATGGCCTGAGTTCAATCCCATGCCAAAAAGCTAATGCACATATGGTACAGCAGACATTTCCTGTACCTCACTGTTCTTCTTAGCAGTGAGGAGCATTGCTCCTCCACTTAAATAACAAAATTGAAGAGAATTTCCTAAAATTTTAGTTACCCTCCCCCAATATATCTATTTCAGTAGATATACTGAATATCTATTTCAGTAGATGTGCCTGTTCTGCATTCAGATCTATCTCTGGTGAGTATCCTCACCCCACCCTCGCCCCCCACCCCCCACTTACACCTTTGGCCTACACCAGGTTCTTACACACACACACACACACACACACACACACAATCTGTAGAATATAAATATACTTTAAAAAACTTGGAACCTTTCAGAATGATTAACTTTAGAGATTTCATGTAAGACATACATATGTCTTATATATGATAATAAATACAAAAACCTTTGATTTGTTCTTAGTATTATCTGTTTTTTTCAGATTACAATATTTAAACGTTCATCTTTTGAATTATCTAGTTTCTATTTTTTTCTAATTATGTAAATGAGAAAATTGAACATTAAAAGCTTTTTTTTTTTCAGAAATTTTTCATTATGTGTCTCTTCTCTTCTAGAACTAACATCAAACCTCGCAATTCCACACCACCTAGTTTGGCACGGAATCCTGCCTCAGGTGTGCTTACGAACAAAAGAAAAACATATACCGAGAGCTACATAGCCAGGTATGTTTAGCTCTGCTATCCTAATAATTAAAACAAAATTTAGTATATGTAGTTTTCCATGGATGGTATATTTTAAATGATATCAGGATGTTTATAAAAAAGCTATTTTTTCCTTTATTATATGACTTAATTTGACTTTGAAGTTGTACAATAAAGAAATAGTTTGGACATAAATGTTTTCCTGCACCTTGCAGTTATAATTTTATTGCTGTAAATTTGTTCATTGGATGCATTTGTGTTTCTTATGCCATAACCATAGCATGGTTATTTTTACCTTTGTAATGGAATAATAGACTCTTCAGTCCATTATTAGTGTATTTTTCTGCAAGATTTCCATACAGCTAATATATTTATACTCCACCACTGGGGTTATGATTAGCCTTGTATATCCCTTTCAAATTTGTCACAATATATATACAACTTTGACATTTAGATACATTGCCTGCTTTTGTTATAAGCATATAAAATTGTCTGAAAGATATTTTTAAATATATCCCAACTTATTCCAAAAAAAAAAAAAATGAAAACATAGTACCTAACGCCATGCTAGAAATAAAATACATTTTAGAAATAAAATACATTTTAGGTAAAGTGTAAATTTCCTCCAAAAATAGCTCATATAAATGATTGCAAACAAACTATTTCTAATCATTAATAAACTTAAATCACTAACCAAATTCCCACTGTTTCCTATCACACACATGCAAGCATGTAAAATGGGCTTCTGATCATTTTAGGTGGTAGGGTCTACCAAATTTTTAGAGGGATGGGAGGTTAAAAAAACACCATTCCTCAGCTTCTTTTAAAATATTAGTAAAATGATACTCAGATCAATAAGAGAAAGTAAAATTATCATTCTTACATATGAACTTGAAAATAACCCAACCTACAACTTGAGACTCAGGATACTTTAGATTTAACCCGAAAATAAGATTATTTAACATTACAAAGTCTGTAATATAATTTATCACATCAGTAGACAGGAGAATTAAAACTATTTTGTCACTATTGATAAATATAGAAAAAATATTTAATAAGATTCACAAGCCAGATTTTTCAGTTTTTACAAAAATTTGTAGAAAATTAAACTACAAAATATAAGATACAAAATAACATTACTAAATAATGTACAAAATATAATTACTAAAATAGTTTAAGTCTCATATTAAATAACATGTAAGAAGCATTTTCTTTAAGGGCACAGTAACACAAAAATGTCTGATATAATCATTTCTACTGTAATAGATAATGTAGTCAGTGTAGTAAAACAAGGAAAATAATTTAAAAGATGAAAATAAAATGTAAAACTTATTTACTAGTATATTATATATATTTATATATATTGTATATTATATATATTTATATTGCATAGAAATATTTTATCCATTAATTTGTCTTTTGTTTTTCTATATATTCTGTCCCCAGTAGATGGATTAATGAATAAATAATAGTGTTCTTTTAATGAATTTGTTTAATGTGAGATCAGCACATGGCAAATTATTGTAGCCTGTCAACAAAAACAGAAAATGCAGTTTTTACCCCAATACCTTGGCATCACTACTTTGTTTTCTTTATCCCCTCTGTGGACTTGTCTATTCTGGGTCATATTATATATAACTTTTTATATTTAACAGTGTTGTTGATGTTCATCTAAGTGTGTCAGAATGTTGTTCCTGTTTATTGAACAATATCCCATTGTATTTATATATTGTAATTTACTGTTCTATCCATTGATGTTTCCCTGGTGGGTTTTATTCAAAAGTGCAATGTATCTTTATCCTTAATTCACTACATAACAGAAGTATTCGAATTGGGGAGCACCTGAATTCTCCAGTAGCTACCTCTAGTGAAAAAAAAAGTTTTTAATAATGTCATGTTTATAATCCTGTCAGCAAATAAGAGCTCCCTTCAGGGTGACTTAAATATCATGTCTGACTGAACACATACACAAGAGGAAATATAAAATTGTTCTTAGGGGAATCAAATATCTCTCCTAACAGTTGAATAATGTTTCATGAGTAGAATCCTAATTTTCCCATTGGTTGACTTCTGTAATAAAATTATTACCCCAAATAATTTGCTCTACACTTTTGTTACAGTGAAATAGTTCTTGTAATATTAGTTTTTCTTTCATTGTTAACATTTTGTTCTTAAGGCCCACTTTGCTAGGGCATATAGTGGGGCTTCTTGAAGATTATATCAAAATGAATTAATAATAAAATAACACAATATGATTATTTATCACATCACACTCCTTTTGACAAGGAAAGGAGATCTGTCTGGAACCTGAAGACTTCTGTCTTTCCTCAGGACAGATTTCCAGTTTCCTCTTTATAAATTACACAAGGGATATTGTGAATTACTTTATAAGTTACACAAGGGATATTGCAAATTTCCATCTTATTTTTTATTTTTTTTTAAAGATTTATTTATTTGTGCATACAGAACTGGGGTACAGGCGAGAGGCTTCACCATAGACAGAGTGGGGAGCAGAACAGGCAGATGGACGAAGTTCACTGCTGAGGGGAGCAGTGGGCGGGTCAGGAGAGGTCTGCCACGCCATGTGGTCACCTCCGGGACAGACGGGAATCACTCATGCGGAAGTGGCTTTAGCTTCTCAGTGCTGTGCTTTAACCTGCTGCGCCACCAGGGAGGGCCACAAATTTCCATCTTTTACCATACTACATTGAACAGGGGGGAAGCATGTCTGCATTTGGTCATGAAAAATTCTCCTAACAAAGATAAATATAATGCTAAAGCAAACATCTAGAAATGCAATAATTACTAAAAGAGATTGTTTTAAAACCGAAACTAGAGAAATATTAAAAATCAAATTAAGTGGAAGGGGGAAAAATGAGATTAAGCAAATTTTTAGTTATACTTAATGCTTCTTTTCCTAAAGGTTATATGTTGAAAACTACTGATTTAGACTTTGTTTCTATTTTTTCCCGTACTTCTTCAGGCCAGATGGAGACTATACATCTTCACTTAATGGTGGAAACATTAAAGGCATTGAAGGAAATTCTTCTGGACACTTACCAAAATTCTGCCATGAGTGTGGGACCAAATACCCTGTGGAATGGGCAAAGTTTTGCTGTGAATGTGGCATTCGGAGAATGGTTCTGTGAGTTTTATGACTGGCTGCGTGGAGCTAGAACACTTCCTCAGTTATTTTGTGCTACAATTCTTCAAAATACTTTTTTCAGCAGGTTTTAGAACATAATCCTTTGGCTATGTAACATATGTGTGTATATATTTGTAAATATGCTGTATATAATAAAATACCCGATACCCCAAACTGTGCCATTCAAGGAAATATTCACTTATCTGTCAGAAAATAATTTTGTGTGGAATCACTAACTTCAATATTATTTTTCTGTTGTTTAGTTGAAGCACATTAAGTGTATTGCCACAAATTCTAAAACTCTAATGCTTTTGCCCTTCAAACTTTAGGATGATTATTACTTTGAGAAAAAAAAAATCAATAAATATTTTGCTATGGGTGCCTATTCAGGTAGTATAGTGGGATAAGAAACTCTGAAAGGGAAAAAAGTATTTTTGTTACAGTTAGTTATATAGGATCATTTTCCTGTAGAACTCTTCAACAAATCAGTTTATATACATATATATATTTTTTTTAAGAGAGAAAAAGATTTGAGGTCTACATTGCCAATTATTTGTTGTAATATTAATTATATAATTTATAATCTTTACTCATTCTTCAAAAATGTAATTATACAATTTCCTTTCAATACAATGCTGAAAATATAAATGTATCTTATTCTAGTTTTTAATAACTTAAAATCTGTTTGTATTAGTTGAACACATAATTTTTCTACTTCCAATTGTACCTCCAGTTACACCTTTTTCATTATCTTGCATCTAAGAGTAGTTTCAATTTACTATTTCATTTGTGTAAAGGTTGAAAATATAACTATTTAAGATGCATACGATTCTTTACAAAAAAAAATCTACTTCCATATACCTGAATTTAGGAAAAGAAGTGTTTTAATGGATTTTAAAGCAAACCACCTCATTTAATAAAAATTAATTATGGTAGTTAAATCAGGGCATGCAAGTAAAAGTGCTTGGATTTCAGTTATTTCAAGTGTAGTTAGATATAGTTAAGAGTAGGTTAAGAGAATGTCTTAATTTTTTCTACTCATAATTTCATTTTAGTGTTTAATGAGGAAACACCTTTCACATAATATGTTACTGGAAAATGTATTGTTTTAATGCATAACAGACATGTATTTAAACATAAAATTTTTATACTTTAACTTTGACTGAAATACAGCTTTTAATCATCAGCTCAGCATGTTGTAGATCTCTGTGCAACCATATTCTGTAATTCAATAGTAATTTCTGTTGAATCAAACCTAGCAGAGTTTTGACCTTACATTTTAGGTAATTTATTGTTTTGTTGTTGTTTTGATTCTGATCAGCTATAAAAATCAATGTAGAAATTAATGCCTTGGGATTTTTTTCTAAAACTTATCTTTATATACTTTATAATTTTTTATTAGCTTTTTTTGTGTTTTCAGCTTGGGAAGAGGATATAAACAGTGGAAATCATACTTGCCATTTTCTTATAGTCTCTTCCCTGACTTTTTAATTTTTTTTTTTGTTGCCTTAAAATCTAAAGTCTTATTGGTTAGGGAAAAAAAAATTTCATCATCTATAATAAGCTGTAATAAATTCAGTATAATAATGTACAGGTTAAATTATCAATTTAGTAACATGTTCTAGCCTAACACTTGTAAATCATATGAATAACTTTAAACTCTTGTTTCATTTAGAAGCATTATTTTCTTTCAAAGATTTTGTAAGACAACGTAATTTTTATCTGCCTAAGGAAGGGATAGATAAAAATGAGTTTAAAGAAAGTGGCACATGTTTGTTTCTCACTGAATTTTATAGGTTCAAGTAAATGTATAATGTACCTTGTGGAGAATGAGTTGGTAGGAAACCATCAAATTCCAGAGTCTAGATATTATAAAGTAGGAGAAATATATTTATGAATAATGAAACATTGTGATAATGTATTTAAGTGCATACCATCACTGTCATATATTGTTCTCACATTGGTTTGTTGTGCAATAGTTTGGTTTTTAATAAAACTTCAGTCTATGCATCTTTTACCTTAATTCTATTTATTTCCACAAGTACTTGCCAGTTTGATAGAATAAAGAAATGGTTGTAAGCTTAAATTTAAAATGTAAAAATTGCTTATGTATGTATACTGAAAGTTACTAGCTTGCAAAAGTAAGGTGATTATGGCTGCTGTTGTGTCTTGTTCACTGTTTTATTACAAATAATGTCTCATCTTTGAACCTATTCAATAAAGACACGAAGCAAAAAAAGCCAATTGTTTTTCATTACTCTTTTCATTGAGACACAGGGACATAAGAACACTGAAATACAAATAAAATGTAAAGTCAAAATATGAAGTTTTTTGATGAGAAAACCGTTTTTTAATGGGAATATGGTTTTAATTTTTTTTTAAATGTATATGCTCCAAAACATTTTACTTGGAAATTTTCAGTGTAAGTAGGAAAACAAAAATTGTAAAGAATACCAGCATGAACACATCATGTATACTTTAATTGTAGATATAGAAAATGCATTTTAATGTAATGCTTCCACTACATGATATGTTATATATATTTTAAAATAACACAAGACAGTGATACCAGAGAACTACCTACTCCTGGATTCTGTGGCAGATGGGTTTCCTTATAGGAAGGAACCAGAAAAGCAGCCCTGGAAGGTGAAGAATGACAGCCTAAAATTAGCATATCAACCAGCCTTGTCTTTTTTTTTAAACTGACAAAATGAATTTGAGTCCCTTCCCTGGTGGCCCAGTGGGTTAAAGCACAGCACTGAGAAATTGAAATCATTTCAGCACAAGTTCGATCCCCGCCTGCTCTGGAGGTGACCACACAGAACAGCAGACCTCTCCTGACCCACCTGCTGCTCCCCTCAGCAGTGTACTTAGTCCTTTTGTCCTACTCTGTCTCTGGTGAATCCTCTCACCACCCCTGCACCTCTGGCCTATACCCCAGTTCTGTATGCATGAATAAATAAATCTTTTAAAAAAAATGAATTTGAGAATACCTTACAATATAGCTACCATTTCAACAACATTAGAGAATTCATAGTGAGATTGCAAAGCCAGGTATGTAATTTTATTGTGGGTTTCAGCCACGATACTCATCTTCCTCTATGGTATGCAAAAGGTTAAAAAAAAGTCTTTAGTCATGGTATTTTACCATCATACAATTAATTACCATCATACAATTCACAGTGGCAAGAAATCCTATAAATTCAGCAAAATGGATAGCGCTTTAAGTCTTAAAGCTGAGTTAACAAAAAAAAAATTAGGAAAGAGCACTACAAATTTAAGAATTAGGAAAATCTGTTTATAGAATTTAAGTTTTAGTAACACATCATGAAACACAGAAGAGAAAACCTTTTATTGGCAATCTTTTTTTATGCCACTGGCTTTTTTTTTTTTTTTAAATTCATACAGAACTGGGGTACAGGCCAGAGATGTGGAGGGTGAGAGGAATCACCAGAGACAGAGCAGGGAGTAGAACAGGCAGATTGCCGAAGTACACTGCTGTGGGGAGCAGCAGGCTTGTCAGGAGAGGTCTGTGCCATGTGGAGCTCCTCCCGGCAGGCAGAATCGAACTCATGCGGAAGTGGCTTAAGCTTCTTAGTGCTGTGCTTTTAACCCGCTCACCACCAGGGAGGGCCCCTGCCACTGGCTTTTAAAGAAACAACTGCTATCTTACCAGAATGTTTTGTGACTTTATTAGAAATATGTTTTAACACAAGACTTAAGGTACAGAGGCATTCTCTGCATATCCACTAAAATTTAGCAAATGAAAACATTAATGAAATCAAGATCGAGAAGAAACATCTTGGATATTTGCAGCTAGGTGATACATAGTTTAATGGCAAAATGCATTCATGAAAATGATATTAGTCATCATTACAATTTTAAACAGTTTAAACAGGAACCATGTCTAGTAAAAATATGATCAGCTTGAGCATGTTCAATTGACACTCAATTCTCCTTAGGCTAGAGGTGAACTCTTCTACTATGAGTAGAAACTCAGGGAATGAATGTTCAGTTAAATGTCAACATACTCATTATTGGCATATAAATTTGCTTGACTTATATGTGAATTGCCTTTTTGCCACTAGAGGGTGCTTTTGGATAATTAACACAATTCAATTTTTATTTTAAAGGCTCATCAGTAATACGGAAGGGTATTTTTTTTTTTTTTTGGTAACATTAAATTACTGTAATTTATAAGTGGTGGTTTTTGTTTTACTGTGACTTAATAATATACATGTTGGCTTCCCAGAAACAGTGAATCTCATTTTGTACCAGCATGGTATTGGTAGAAATATTGTATATTTATACCTCACAATATCTTGTTAGAAAAGTTTTGCATAGTCATATACATTATCAAGTACCATTTGTATTACAGCTTTAATATTTGTTCTTAGTCATATAACAGCTATCATCTTTATGGTAATCAATTTTTACCAGTTGTCAAATCTGACAACATAGGAGGGCAACATCTATTTAAGGATAAGTGGTTGAACAAACTAATATACATTGTACAGAGCTAAAGCTTTTAACACTTCATTTTAAAAGTGTGTTACTTTTGTAAGATGCTAGGAATCTAGAGAAACAATGCAATGTACTTAAGTTCCTGCCCCCAAAATAATATATTTGGAGAAGTTGATATATGAAAAAACAAAACTTAGGACAAAGAGATTCATTTTATTTTTTTATCTTCCCTACCATTGTCTTTTACCCCCTTAAACTGTTCTTTGACTCCTCTCCTCAAAACCTCAGAAGCCTCAAGTTGTTTATTAGTGACCTCTTGCTTTCATTACTTTGGTTTGTAAAATCATCTGCTATGTAAATGTCTAATATTTGTCATTCATACTTGCTAACAAATACATACATGACTCCCCCAAACCTCTTCCATTTTGCTGTAAATGTCGACATTTTCTCTTTCCTGACAGCTGAAACATTCCATTGTTACACATACCACTTCATCCAGTCTTTTCTCATTGGGCACTTTGGAGTTTCCAAATTCTATCTTATAAATAGTACTGAAATAAACATTGTCAAGCATATGCTTTTTTGAGTTGCTGGTATTCTGGATGGCTGGGTTATATAGCATTTCTTTTTTTAAGTCTGTCCATAATGGCTTCACCAGTTATATTAACTACCTACAGTGCAGTGGGGTTCCTCTTAATTCACAACCTCTCAAGTAGTTGCTGGGAGGCTTTTTAATTGGGCCATTCTTATAAGTCTGCGATAATACCTCATGTAGTATAATCCGCATCTATCTCATTGGAAGTGTTGATGAACACTTTGCCAAATAGCTGTTTGCCTTCTGAATATCTTCCTTGATGTATTTGGTGACTTGTCTGTTAAATCTGCTGCAAATTTATTAATTGGGTTGCGTGTGCTATTGTTATTTTTTTTTATCTTAGATACTAATTCCTTGTTGGTTATGTGTAAATATTGTTTCCCACTGAGAAGAAGAATATCCTTTTAATCTCTTAAATTTTAGTTTTCCCCATAAAATTTAATTTGAAGTAATTACAGCTGTTCATTTTTGCTTTTATATTCCTTGCCATGAGGTTCAATTTCTAAAAGCATCTTGAAATGGAACATGTCATCTGTGTTTTCTTCTAAATATTGTTGGAAGTCATATCTAAATACTTAGTCCATTTGGAACTTGTATATGGGGTTAGAGAGTGATTCAACAGCATTCTTCCAGTTTTCCAGCACCATCAAGGAGGTTCTCCTGTCCCCATTGGAAGATTGTGGCTCCTTTACTATAAATTAGGTATTGATGTGTATGGGAATATATTTCTGAGGTTTGTTCTATTCCAATGATTTATGCCTCTCTTATCAACTACTATGTTTTTGGGTTTTTTTTTAAATTTATTTATTTGTGCATACAAGAATTGGGGTGTAGGCCAGAGGTGCAGGGTGAGAGGATTCACCAGAGGCAGAGTGGGGACTGACATACACTGCTGAAGGAAGCAGTTGACAAGACAGGAGGTCTGCTGTGCCCTATGGGTTAGCTCCCAGGTTGGGAATCAGATCCATGCTTCAGAGACTGCTGATAAATAGTTTCATAGTGCTGACACTTAACCCCTTCACCACCAAGGATGCCCCAATACCATATTGTTTTTAATACTGTTGCTTCATAGTATAAGTAGGTAATGTGAGAAAGCCATTTTTTTCCCTCTTTCGATGACTATTGCTACTTGATGCTTTTTATAGCCCTATATAAATTTGCATAGATTTGTTCAGATCCTTTGAAGAATATTGTTGGTATTTTCTTGGGAACTGCATTAAATTTATCTCTAGGTAGCATAGGAATTTAGATTATATTGACTCTCTCCATGTGTGAGAAAGGAATGTCCTTCCATCTTATGACACTATGTCTTTCATTAACATGTTGTAGTCCTCATTTGGTTAGTTAAGTTCTGAGACACTCATTTTTTTTATGTGATTGTAAATGAGTAATTTTCTTTATTTTGTGATTGTAAAAGAGTAATTTTCTTTATTTTTATTTCCTTCTTATTGTATTTAAAATGTGAATTTTTAAATGTTGAGTTATAACTTGCCACTTTGCTGTATTCATTTATAACTTTTGGGTGGATTCTTTAGGGTTTTTCTACTATAATATGTCATTATAGCAACAGTGGTAAACACCAACATGGATTCCTTTTATTTCCTGTTGTCTGATTGTTCTAGCCAAAACCTCTAATCTAAATTAAACAGAAGTAATGACAGTGCGCATCATCTTATTCTTAATCTTAAAGGGAGAACATTCTGGGTTTTACCACTAAGTTACATATTAGCTATGTAACTTTGTATATTATTAGTTTGTAATATATTACCTGTATTGTCTCCAGGGAGGCCACTTCTTGTGGAGAGCTTTTATTATAACTGTCACTAGGAATCAAACACTTGTTCTGTATTATTCACATATGGTTTCTATTTTTACTTTGGATACATGTATGATGCTGGTCTATCCCTCGGAAATATCCCACTTGATTATAATATATGTGACATATTGAAGACTTGCGAGAATTTTGTTGACAATGTTTGCATTATGCTCAGAGATATATGACTTCATATATTGTGCTATCTTTGCTAATTTAAGTATTAAGGTACTGTTGACATGTAAAATATATATATTAATGAGTGTTCCCCCTTCTTTGATGAAGATGAGTGAGATGGTTCTAAGTTCTTCAAAGTTTTGATAGAATTTATTTTTAATGTGAGCCCTCCCTGATGGCGCAA